CCCCCCCCCCCCCGGCGTTTGTCGGGCATTGTCAACTGTACTCTGTTAGCCCCGGGCTGGGGATTCATTATTAGACAGATTTAGATCGGACGCGGACGTCAAAGATGACGTGAAAATGGTGTGTTGTGCCCATGTATGGACATGCCACACCATTTTGACACTATTTTCACGTCATCTTTGACGTCCGCGTCCTCAATCTAAATCTGTCTATTGATACGAGATAGAGCCTGTATTCGATTTTTTGGTTTAGAAGTCCTCAGAAAACGTATGTCTTGTCTTATATTTTGTGCCCAAGCCCACCCATGCATTTGCGTCAATGTAAGTCCACATTGGTGGGGATTTTGTTCCATTATTTTGACCCCATTGTGGGGCATTTGCAACGTTTTTCCCGCCAACGGGGGAAGGAATGGGCACCCATGGAATTGATTGATAATAACAACAATAACAATAACAATTTATTGGAAGCATTCCCATATACATAAATGGTATTGCCTACGACTACATAACAAAATAACAAAATAACAATAAAACTATGCTAAATTGGCCCTACGGCTACGTATAAATAACGGTTTTAACTAGTAAAGCCCAAAGGGGTTATTTACAGTAATAAATTGTCTTTTCTTATTGCAAAAGCTTCGGAGATGAACCATGCAATTTTTTTGCATACAAAAGGATCAACATTGTTAAATAGGAATAAAACTTTTTCCGTAGTATTCATTTTTCTGAAGTTTTGATATTGATTGTTCATATCACTGTATAGAGTAGTTTTAATTTGGTTATACAATATACAATGGAATAAAAAATGTGTTTCATTTTCTATGTATTGTGACCCACAGTGGTCACATGTTCTTAGATTTTCTGGCATTTTGGGACAGCTATGTCTTCCTGTCTCAATTTTTAAATTATGGTTTCCCATTCGAAGCTTCGCTGTGGCTTTACGGTGATTTCCATTTTTTATCAGCTCCAAAAATGAGGAACATTTGGTATCGTATTTGAAAGTTGAATAAAAAACAAGTTTTCTAATTGACTTCAGAAGATGAATTTGATGTAATTGGGATTGATGTTCTATATTTGGTTTAATTTCGAATAACCATTTATTGTAATTATCTTTGTTACTAGTATCTATATTTTGTTGATTCTGTGTTTGAAATAAGCGTGTGATTTCGTTTACGGATGAAATGAAACAAGGTTTAGTACTAGATAACGCTATTTGTTTAGAAATCTGAAGACATTGGAAAGCAATACTATTTTCTGGTTGATTTTCAAGATGAATCCAGAATTTTAGTATGTTCTCATAAATTGTTGATTTTAAAGATAATCGGCCTGCTTCATTTCGAGAGGCAACATTTGGAGCTCTTTTGTTTTTTCAACACCGTCAGTTTCCCATTTATCAAAGTTCAGTTTCTCGTACGCACCCCAAATTTCTGAATTATACAATAAGATAGTTTGTTGCATATTGTTACTGGAAGTTTATAAAACTCGAGATATTTTTTAGTTTTAAATATAGATTGTCTCGTTTTATCAATTGATATTTGATTTGATAATGCAAAACTTCCATTGCAGGAGATTGTGGAGCCCAAAATAAGTATAATCTGGTGCATTAATGATTTGAGATCCATTGAGAAAGAAAGAATGTTTCTCTAGGGTTGATTTGCGGCATTGTTTTTGAAATATAATGGTTTTAGTTTTCTTTAGATTAACATCTAAAAACCAGCTTTGACTATACGAATGGAGAGTGTTAATTATGTTCTGCAGACCTGTGGCACTGGTAGATAATAGTACTAAGTCATCTGCATAAAATAGGCTGTTGAGGGATGATCCGTTTGGCAAAATTATGGGGTCGCAGTTGTCGGTTTTTTCAAGAGCGATAGGTAACTCATTCATATATAAATTGAATAACATCGGGGATAAAACACATCCCTGGCGTACTCCTCTGTTGTATTTAAAATAATCAGTTCTTTGATTATTTATTTTAACACTACATTCTGTTTTTGAATAAATGTTTGATATAAGATTATAGAACTGTCCATCAATATTATACTTAAGTAACTTTGATAATAGGCCAGGGTGCCAAATCGAGTCAAAAGCCTTGCGAAAATCAACAAAGCAACCGAACAACTTCCCTTTGGTTGTGTTCGAGACATATTTATCAATTAAAGTTCTAAGTGAAAAAAAAAAGGTCAGAGGTTCGATTTCCAGCTACAAAACCAATTTGTGATGGATGTAGTGTATTATTATAGTTTTGACAAATTCAAGTAACCTATCACTGAGAATGCAACAGAATAACTTGCCTAGGCAACTGGTAACACAAATACCTCTATAATGTGAAGGGTCTAATTTATCACCCGATTTATAGATGGGTGTAATCAATCCTTTTGACCATAAGTCGGGATATATTCCTGCATTAAGGATGAAATTAAATAGTTTTATTAATGGTGAGACTATTAAATTCATTCCACATTTAAGCATCTCATTTCGGATTTTATCATTACCGGCAGTCTTCTTACTTTTTAGTTTTTTTATAGCTTTCTTAATCTCACTCTCAATGATCGGTATGTTTAAGCAGTTGTTTTGATTGGACTGAGAAATATTAGTTTGATCAATAATAATTTTTTGGTTTGGTGTACAATGGTTCTCGTCAATATTCGAGTGTAAAGTGTTAAAGTGATTGAGAAGATTGTCAACAGGAACGATTTGTTCATTGATGGTGTTTGTATTACTGGCTGATTTTAATGTTGACCAGAATTGCTTTGTGTTTTTCTCTTTCACCAGTGATTGAATTATATCATTATCAAATGTTTTCTTTTTATAACGAAGTAAACCCTTGTATTGTTTCGTCATATAATTCAAATTCAAAAAAAGTCTTTTTAATAGATCAAAAGATAAAAATACATATCTTATGTTACAAGTATATATTAAGAATACATTAGTAAAGTTTACATCATATGAATAGGTTATAGTTAAAAATTAATCTATTTGCAAACGACAATTTAAATCGTTCCGTGTTCACTCTTGGATACTGACTAAACTCTGTCCTCAAAGAGTAGCTTGTGGATTTTTTTCTTGGTATCAAGTCGACTATGGCACTCTCCTCAGAAGCCTTAAAAATATTTCTGTCTTGTATTTCTAAAAGATATCTAATATTCACAGGTTCTGATATATACTTTCGCTTAAAACATCTGTCAAAAAACCGTTGTAGAGTATTGAGTTTGGCTGGAGAAGAACCGTAGACGGACAGGCCAAACGTTATAGTAGATATTACTAGGGTCTTAAATAGATAATCTATCTCACATTGGCTATAGCCTTCTGCCCTGAGTGTTCGTATAACGTACAAGCATTTGTTTGCTTTGACCAATTTACCTCGCACATGGCTGGTGAACTTGAGATTGTCTTGAAAAGTAGTACCTAAAATGGGAAGTTCTTTGCATTGGGGTATATTATAAACATTGTCAAGTTGATCATTATATCCCTTCTTCCGGATGGTAAGCTCTTTACATTTACCAGGGTTACAAGTCATAAAATTATCATCAGACCAGCTCAGGAATTGTCCAACTGTATCTGTTGATGTATCAGGACCCTCACTCCAAACTGGCACTATTATATTTGAATCGTCCGTATATTTAAAAAGAGCGTTCTCGCCGTCTATGTCCACCTCTAAATCATTTAGGAAAATATTAAAAAGGTAGGGGCCACTTACGCTCCCCTGTGTTGTACCCTTATTAACATCCATCCATTCTCCACAAAAATCGTTACAAATGACTCTTTGCTTTCTATTCTTTAGAAAATTTAAATACCAATTTATGATGTAAAGGTTGAGTGGCACAGTTTTTAACTTTTCCGAGAGGAGTGAATGTTTCACTGAGTCGAAAGCCTTGCTAAAATCCATAGAAAACAGTCTAACTGCTTTGCAATTCGCTCTATCTAAGAAGCTGAGTACTTTGTTCTGAATAGTTAACAGAGCGTTTGTACAACTCCTCCCCTGCCTGTACGCAAATTGCGTTGGGGATAAAATTTCCTCAACTGTCGACTTGACCTGACTATTATAAACGAGCTTTTCGAAGGTCCTCGCAATTACAGGTGTAATATTTATTCCACGAAAGTCACCATCTTCCTTTGGTAAATCAACCTTTGCAAGAGGGTTAATATTCGCTCTTTTCCATGAATCTGGCCAAGTATGTGATGAAAGGGACAAATTCCAGACGTTAGTTATAACTTCGGTTAGAATTTCCGCATGATCATTCCAAACCCAATAGGGAATATAATCGGGACCTGTTGCTGTCTTCTTTATTCTTTTCAAGGCATTCCATACCTGCTGTTCCGTAAAGCTAGGAATATCTACTTCATCACCAATAATTGAGAGCGTCGGTTCGACATAACTATCATCGTGGCAGAGTTCGCCAAAGTAGCGATTTAATCTTGTAAGTGATGCATTATCTAAAGTAACTCTTAATGACGATGCATTTCGCTGAGAAATATCATTTGTCTTTCTCCACCAAGTTCTACTTCCCACCAAGGCCCTAAAATTTCTTCTGTTTTGACAAATGACATCAGAAATCCTTTTGTTAATT